AGCTCGTGTTGCCCTTGGCTAAGCTGTGGGAGAAGCCTGTGGTTCCAATGAACCCTTATGCCAGTCCTGTTGTCCGGGTGTCCTTGTCCTTCCCTGCACAGCCCGAGGGGGAATAGCGGTGGAGCGAAGGGTGTCAGTGGGTGTGTTTGAAGGTGTGCTGATGGCTCAGCACCCAGCAGGGTGGGATGTCCCAGCTGTGCAGGGAGAAGCAGAAGTGCGTGCGAGGTTTCCCATGCGCGCTCCACTGCAGCAGGCTGCACCACCACCAAGCATAGCAAGCAGACCAGTTCCCGACCCTTTTCTGTCTCTCCCATCTTCTCCCCCTCTCCCCTCCAGCTCATCATTGGAAACTTTGGCCTTAGCTACGAGCAGTCACGCTCCCAAATGGCCTTGTGGACGGTGATGGCGGCTCCGCTCCTCATGTCCACGGACCTCCGCACCATCTCCCCGAGCGCCAAGGAGATCCTGCAGAACCGCCTGATGATCCAGATCAACCAGGACCCCCTGGGAATCCAGGGGCACCGGATTGTCAAGGTTAGGGGGGAAGGCGTACCCACGTGATGTGGGAGAGCAGAGAGGAGCAGCACGGGGCGTCACAATACGGAGGGAGAGGGAAGTGATGCAGAGAAGCGTGAGCAGGAAAGCTGTGGGAGCTGGGGACCTGCTGGCCTAGCAGCTCGTAGGGCAACTTATGGGCCAGTACTGGTCCCAGCAGCTCTGCCCTCATCCACCCGTCCTCACCCCTAGGAGAAATTCCACATCGAGGTGTTCCTGCGCCCGCTGTCCCAGGCTGCCAGCGCCCTTGTCTTCTTCAGCCGGAGGACGGATATACCCTACCTCTACACCACCAGCCTGGCCAAGCTCCACTTCCCTGAGGACGCGGTATATGAGGTGAGCCCCACTGGTGTGCTGCGTGCCGGGGCAGCCCCACGGCACCTGCATCCCCTTCTTTCCAGATCCCTCCTGTTGAAACCCTGTGTGTTTTGAGGGGGGAAGGACTCCCACCCCCTGCCTCCAGGATGAAGGGGCAGCTGCCCATCGGGTAGCCCTTCTGCTGCTGTGGTGTGGCCCGTTCCCCCATGTGGCATGGCCAGCTTGGGCTGGGGCCTCAAGATGCAAGGTCTGTGGCAATCCTGGTAGCCACCATCTCTCTCTTCCAGGTGCAAGACGTGTACAGCGGGAAGATCATCAGCGGCTTAAAGACGGGGGACAGCTTCTCAGTGGTTGTTAACCCCTCGGGGGTGGTGATGTGGTACCTCTATCCCATGGCGCAGCTGGTCAGAGAGCAGGCCCCCGGCAGGGGGTTCCACCCGGTCCTCCTGTGACCGGGCTGTGACAGGGGTGTGGGTCAGCGCCGGGGTGAGCCGTGAGACCTGGGGCATGTGGCTCCCTCTGCACAAGTGCCTTTTGCTGGCGTGCCCAGTGGTGCTGGGGAGTGACCGTCGGGTCACTCCTTTGGTACCATCCTGATGCTGCCGGCGTGAAGCAGGAATTGTTACCCACCTCCGACGGGTGCGCAGAGCGTGATCTGTCCGTGATTGCAAAGCCCTTTGAGCCCCTCCTGTGGAAGATGCCAGACAGGCAGAGTCCAGCCGCTCTTGGAGTTTGTCAGCTCTGACGCCCCAGCACTGCACCGCGTTGGACGGATACCACTGACCGCTGCAGGGGCTGGCTGAACTGTGCCTGCGGAAAGGCCCTGGGTGCTTTGGTATCTTCTAGGGTGGTGACACTCCTGTCCCCCTCTCCATGTGTCATGTAGCCTCAACAATCAGACCTGGGCACCTTCTTTCCTCTGCTTTAATCAGCTTGGCTTAGGACAAGGGGCTGCCAGTAACACCGCACCCTCCCCGGAACCAAGAGCTCCTGGAGGCACGACAGTCCTGTCCAGCAGTGTTGCTGCAGGCCTGATCCTGCTGCCAGGATCCTGGAGGCCAGCACTATTCCGGCCTGGCACGCATGCTGGCCTCGATAACCTGCAATACCGGTTTACAGCAGAGCAGAACCCTCCGTTGGCCATGCCCAACCCCAGCAGCCTTGCTGGGGTACAGCGCCGAAAACGGCGGAGCTGAGCGTGTGGCGCGCGAGCAGTGGCAGGAGAATGCCGACGCTCAGTCACTGAGGTGGGAGATGGTCACGGGTTCGTCCTGTTCTTGCTCCAGCAGGAAATACCTGTTAAAATGGGGTTCAGGCCCTCCTCCAGCTGGCTGAACTCTCCGCATATCTCAGGGAAAGGCTCCTCCTTCTCCCAAGGGCAGCTACATCCACCATCCCCGTCCCGAGGAGGAGCCTGCGCTAACAAACTGGAAGCGAGCAACAGGGCAGAGCCTGGAGCCCGAAGTGATCCACCTTCGTACCGCGCACGGCCTGTATGCGCAGCAGTTGTAGGCGGCTGGGGCTGGCTCCGAGTGCCCCGGGGAGGGGTGCAGCATTTGTGAAGACCGCAGCACAGGGAGGCTGACATGGTTAAGCCTCAGCCCAGGGAAATACCCACATTTTGGATTAGCCAAAGAAAAAGGTTTCCCCTTTCTTATCAGATGATGGGTGCCCAAGCCGGTTCTGCGGGACCAAATGGCTGATTCTATCCACTTCCAGAAACTTCCTCTGAGTGCAGCGGCAGATACTGGACACAACGCAGTGCTGACGGGAAGGGATGAGCGCACTTCACCTCTGTGTACAGGAGCTGCCTGGGGCTCGGGGGGCAACTGAGACAAATTAATCCAAATAAAGGGGAAGGCAGGTCACGGGCTGTTTTGTGTTTATTCACTGTTGCTAGCTGTAGCGTAGGATTGTGGGGTCACGGCTTCAGAACAGGAACAACCATGCTCAGAAATAGAAGTGGCTTCCTGTTGGAGACCAGACTAAGGCAGGGTAGGAAATGGCTTTCTGGTAGTTACATGTCCAGGAGGGCACCTGCTTTCCTTGGCATAAGGGAAATGGCTTTCAGAGTCCACAGTTAAGCGGACCAAGCCAGGCAGTGAACATGGAAGAGCCGCTAAAAACAGGGCTTTGGTGAGTGGCAGGGTGGGGAGAGCACCCCTGCCGAATCCCGAGTTGTGCCTGCCCTGAGGACACGAACGTGTGCCAGTGCTGGGTATCTGGGCGAGAGGAAAGGCACAAACCAGCCTTCCACCCTCCCCAGGAAGCAAGAGGATGAGGCCCACCAACTTCTCTTCCCCCCACCCCTCCCTCCCAGTTACTTGTTCCCAGTTCCAGCCTGGCCACGCATCAGGGAGAGAGGACCGGCCCACAGCCCGCCCGAGACCACCACCAGTGGCTGCCGTTAGCTCCAGCCTCCTGCGCAGCAGGCGGGAACGAAGGCCAACACAACGCACGCGCAACAGCCGACAGGCAGCGAAAGGTATCAACACTCCTGTATTAAAGTGCAGTTCCCAAGTACAAACATTCACGGCTGATTTCTGTTTCAGTACAGGCTTCTTGGAACATCCCTAACTCAGACGCAAACTGTCTTTATAGATAAGGAAATTTACTTTCCCCCTGCCACGCCGGGCTGCTTTAGGAATTCAGGCTTGCAAGTTGTGCAAGTCTGTCTTGCAGGAGAGCCCCAGCACAGAGGGAAATCAGAGGGAAAACACTCCTTCCCCCTTACTGTGAAGGTAGGAAGGCTGTCGGAAGAAGTACAAACACCCCGTCTGCAAAGGGTCACAGGGTCTCCACCAGAGCAGAGACTCTTCGGAGCAGGACAATGGCACTACGTCCCAGGGAAGGAGAGTGGTGGCTGAGCAGCCAGAGTTGCTGCAAGGGAGCTGCGTGTTAGTAACATCCACACCAGAGAGCGGTTGCCAGCAACAGGGAGGTAGGAAGGCTGTCGGAAGAAGTACAAACACCCCGTCTGCAAAGGGTCACAGGGTCTCCACCAGAGCAGAGACTCTTCGGAGCAGGACAATGGCACTACGTCCCAGGGAAGGAGAGTGGTGGCTGAGCAGCCAGAGTTGCTGCAAGGGAGCTGCGTGTTAGTAACATCCACACCAGAGAGCGGTTGCCAGCAACAGGGCACTGCACCCCCAAGGAAGCCCATCACACCGCCTGCCCGCTCGCCCGCCTCGCGCAGACGGGGGCAGACAGGGACTCAGGCCCTGGCCGCGGCGGCTGAAGGAGAAGACGCAGGGCAGCTCTCCCTAGAGCGAGCGGGGCTGCGGGACCCCTCTCCTGACAAGGCCGGCACCAGGTCATCCTCCTAACGTAACACATTTTGCTCCGGACAAGCAGCCTCCTGCGCAGAGCCCGGCTCTGTTAAGCCTGAAGAACAGCTGCTTGACACGGGTTCATCGCACAGATCCGGGACCTGCTTCTAGGAGAGGAAGACCAATTCACACCCCTGCCAGCATGGGCTCACCACCCCGCAGCACGCCTCTGCTTTTCCGTTCGACGCCTACAAAGGCCGGTGACGGGCCGTCCCCATCCCTACTGCATAGCCAAAGGCTTCGGTGTCTCGTAGGATGCAATTCCCAAATTCATCACCCCATGACTGTTAGTCCAGGACATGAAATGCGTGCTTCCAGCATGATACAGAGTCCCATCTCACACTGAGCTGTGCCAGAATTTAAGGAAATTTAACACCTTTCTGGGGCACCCAAGGGTCTATGCAAGGAACCTCATGGCTCTCTATACCTTTCCCCTTAGACGGTGCTTCAGAAGAAGTCAGAAGTTTGACATTCCAAGCAGTTTTACTCCAAGATCCCAGGTTAGTGATGCAGTCTACTGGTGGTTTAAGAAGTCCATCTCTCTCCTCAAGCCAACGGCGGAGCAAAAGGTTAGTGCTTCGACCCCATGAGATAAAGCAAAGAAGCAGGAAAGTGCCGTCGTTCCGCCTTGTATTGCCACCAACATAACGTTTCAGGAGGGCGCGTGCACGGCTGCCCGGCACTACATATATTGTGCATAGACAGAGAGACCTAGAGATATGCTAACCCGAGGGGTAGCAATAGCCAAGTTGTCTTCAGGGAGAGAGAGTGTGGGAGGCTGGTTGCAATATCCATCTGTTAGTTGTTCTTCTTCTCCTCAGGAGGTGTGTAAGGAGGTGGCTGATCCTGGAAGGAAACAGAGTAGTCACAACCCTGCTCATTTCATGACAAGCTCTTCCCAAGGGTTCCCAGGCTTGGCGTACAAGAAATGACTGCTCTTCAGTGAGCTACAGAGCCAGGTGCTGTGTTTTAAGCTGTCAGTTCATCACACCATTCCTCTAGTATCACGCTCTCAAGGATACACACTGTTTCCCTTAACGTTTCTAGTGAGTGTCCCCTCAAAATCAGGTAATGGACGGTCAACTGCAAACGGACCGTTTCACCTGTTCTGATCCCCATCCTCCCGTCTCCCAGGGCTGCGTCTCTGCTGACGCCCCTGGCTCTGACCCAGCAGACAGCAAACCCCGGGCTGGGGGGCAGCTGTGCTACTCCACCTGTTTCCAGCCCACCGCCGAGCCGTGCGAGGCAGCGAAGGGCACAGCCAGGCTGGCTGTCACTTCCCAGACGTAGCCTACAGCCCACCTACCACTGACTCAACCGCCAGAGACCTCCTTGACTCCTTGCAGCCCAGGAAAGCAAAACCCACGTGCTCTCATCCTTAAGTGACCTGCTCCTCTAACTCCCCCCGCTCTCAGACCCCACAGCAGCCCAGTGCTCTGTGAGTTCTGTGTTCACACAGATTTCTTTATGCCTTTAAGAGTAAGACAAGTACTGAGCTGCTGTTACTGGATGAATCTCCTTTCCTGGCTGAGGATCTAACAAGCCTGCTTCACGGCACCACCACCCACACCTCCCAGGAAAGTGCGCGCTTTCCAAGCGCAGGCACGCCAGACTCGGCCGGGGCAGCAAACCGCGGTCTCCACTGGTGACAGAAGGGGGAGCAGGGCCGGCAGGCCACAGTACTCACCATGGGCATGTACACGTTGTGTGGGTTGGCCGGGTTGTAATATGTGCTGGAAGCGGCTTCCATGGCCTTACTGCCTCCTAGAAAGGAAGAGAAGAAGGAAGCGCCGGACACGCTCATGGCACATCCCTCAGGCAGCGGCCCCAGCGCCCTCTCCCCAGCCACAGCTCTTTTGAGGAATGTGGAAGTCCAGAGAACCAGCGGCAGCAAGCTGGGTTGGAACTCGGAGCAGTTTAGGAAAGCTAGAGCTGCCCACAAGCTGTGCAGAGCTGAGCTGAGCAGCTCCCCCTCCACTCTGTTATCTCAAATAACAGATTAATGTGCCTCTGCACTCCTGCAACAACATCAGCTTCCCCACCCACGCTGTGCCCGCATCACCTACAGCCCAAGCCCCCTTTTGCACCCTGGCAGCACCCCACTTACCTGGCGTCCCTGGGCCCATCCAGGCTGGGGGAGCCGAGGGGGCTGAGGGTCCTGCAGGATATGGCCCGGAGTAGGGGGGAGGAGGTGGCACATACATGGGGTTCATGTTTGGAAGCGGTGGGTAAATACCTGAAAAAGATGACACCGGATGGATGCTACGGACCGCGGCAGTGGGACAGAGGGGAAGGGAGCTCACACACAGGCCTAGCAGCACATCAGCCCTGGAGAAGAGCTCTGGCAAAGCTCTGCAGGCTTGGCAGGGATGCAGGCAGCAGGGACTTGACATTTTGCTATTGCCTATCACACCAGCAGGCAACAATCTCTGCCAAGCAGCAGCACAATTTAGAAACCCCGTTTTCAACTCCCCTCCAGCTGCAACAGCAGGGACACACGGGTGCCATCAGCAGCACGCGACAGATTTTTGCAAGGAGAAGGATCCCCGACGGAGACAAAACTAGAGCAACCCTTGCCGCAAAGCCATTTCTTTACAACTCACAGCAAACAACCCCTACCAGCCACCGTTACAGAACTCCCGAACCTGGAGTCTGGGCGTACGGATATCCCATGGGCTGCGGAGCCGGTCCATAGGCACTCATCGGAGGTGGTGCATAAGGATATGGTCCATCTGGGGGTGGAGGAGCAGCATAGCCCCCCGGCGCAGGTGAATACCCCCCTGGAGCAGGCGGGGCGGGTGCATAGCTGGGTGCATATCCTCCGGGCACAGGTGTATAGCCATAGCCAGGTTTCTGGAGAGGAACGCCACTGGAAGCTGAAGGAACATACCTTTAGTAAGCCGGGCATCCTTTCGTTATCACTATACTATAGAATGAAAGGAAAATAGTCCCGTATACGCAGCACCCATCATCTAAAGTCAGCAGGCAGTCCTGGCACGGTACTGCACTTGAAAAGCGTTAGCCTCCTCGCTGCGAGTTCACAGGCTGCTGAAGGAGCCCAGCTGCAAAACCACCCGCGAACCGGTCCCGGGCCCATCACAGAGCTCCCACCGCTAGAAGAAAAGACCATTCTAAAGCAAGTATCAGTACGGGGCTTCTTTCTTCTTAATTTCCTCATCAGAAAAAAAATGTGCGCTTTTCCCCCCATTTGAAAGTTCTAAATAGAAGTTCCATTTTTAAATTTGTTCTCCCACCCTCCCCACCTGTGGACACGTTGACCCCCCCATCTAACTCTGCTATCACAGAACCGAGCTGAGGGCAGGCAAGCGGATCACGCTTTCACCGTCACACGTTTCAACGTTATTCCCGGAGGAGTAAGGTTTTGTAGGAAAAGGCGGTCGGGATATTCTGATGGCAAAAAGCATTGAGATGAAATAAAAGAGGCTGGAAGGGAAAACCAAAGTTCCTCTGGAACTTGCTGTGGAAGAGTACACAGGGTACCCCTCTTCCCCCATCATGTTCAAAAAAGCACCGTTCCCTGAGTAGCTCCGCAAACCATGAGGGAAGTGCAGGCTCTGAAGATCCTTTACCGTTAGAGGCAGCTTTGAACATCAGCTGTCCAAACTCGATGGCTCCTCCGCTGTTGAAAGTCAGTTTAAACGTCCCCTGCCCTTCCCAGCCACCTAGGAGAGAGAATGACAATTGGAGCAGACTGTTAGCCTCCTCCGGAGCAGTCAAGCCAGCAAAACAGTGACCGTGGCCAGGAGGAAGGAACGATGGTGCTGCTATCTGATGTCCCCCAAAACAGTGCCTCAAGAAGGTCAGGGATTTAGTTCTTTACCCTTTAAAAGGCAATCCCCACTACAGTTACGCAGAAGTGGCCTACTCTAGACACTAGGCTGTTCTGCCCTGCCCTGAAAGGTTTACCAGAACCCAACAACGAACAGGGTGTAACGAAAAAACACTTTATTCACTGAGGGTTTTATCGGAAGCCCTCATGTGAAGTTTTATTGCTGACCTCAGTGGACCTCAGATCAGCACCTGCAACTCAAGCCAGGATTTAAACCGAATGCCACATTTTCAATCTCTCTGACCCACAGAAGCTCAGATTATAACTGCTTAGGTATAACAGCAACTTTCCAGAAAAAAGTTCAAGTAGGCAATGACATTGCAAAGTAAGTAAGAGTGCTTTGTTTTGGTGAGGTTTTTTGGTGTGTGTGGGGTGGCATTTCAGGGTTTTTTGGTGTTTTTAGAAAAATATGTAATTTAAATAAAAGCAGCAACCGTACCCTGGGCTGTATCAGGAAGAGTGTGGCCAGCAGGTCGAGGGAGGGGATTCTGCCCCTGTACTCTGCTCTTGTGAGACCCCACCTGGAGTGCTGCGTCCGGCTGTGGAACCCACAACATCCGAAGGATATCGCGCCGTTGGAGCGAGTCCAGAGGAGGCCATGAGGATGCTCCGAGGGCTGGAGCACCTCTGCTATGGGGACAGGCTGAGAGTTGGGCTTGTTCAGCCTGGAGAAGAGAAGGCTCCGGGGAGACCTTACAGCACCTTCCAGTGCCTGAAGGGGCTACAAGGAAGCTGGGGGGGACTTTTTACAAGGGCCTGTAGTGACAGGACAAGGGGTAACAGGTTTAAATTGAAAGTGGGGAGGTTTAGGTTGGATATCAGGAAGAAGTTCTTCGCAGAGAGGATGGTGAGGCACTGGAACAGGTTGCCCAGAGAAGCTCTGGATGCCCCATCCCTGGAAGTGTTCAAGGCCAGGCTGGATGAGGCCTTGAGCAACCTCCTTAGCGGAGGGTGTCCCTCCCATGGCAGGGGGGTTGGAACTAGATGATCTTTAAGGTCCCTTACCACCCAAACTGTTCTGTGATTTCATAAAATAAGATCCATCTTCCTTGCGTAACAGCAAAGTTAGTGAAAGTAGAGATAGTCTCTTGAGGACAAAGTAGACTTAGAGGACAGCAACATAACAAAACAATCCACCACAGATAAAGTCATCCCCTTGGAGAGTCACCTCTTTAAAACCACTCATAGTACGATTTCAGCCTGAGAACGTGGGCTGACCCACAACTCAGGGGACCCAGCCCCTTTAAAACACTGTTACGAACAGAAAGCAAAGGCTTAAGTTCTGCAGATGCCATCACAACGCACATAAACTAATTCCAGGGCTGAAGAGGGAAGGGGTTTGAACCAGAAGCCTTGTTCTTAACCCCTGTTCTCCTTCTGCCATTCCCCACGTTTGATCATGACAGCAAGTCTTACCACATTTTCATCATCAAACGGAACAATGGTGAGTTGGTGATGTACAGCAGCAGCCTGCATGGACACAGATGTACCCACGTTGGTGTCTGCTGACCTCCAGAAAACCAAACGGGTTGCTAATTCTATTGATGCCAACAACTGGCAATTTGGTCACTTACCCACTGTTCCAGGACAAAGACAAGGGAGAACAAGGACAGGTGGAAACCAAGTAAACGTCACGTACACAGCAAGACAGAATCACAGAACAGTTTGGGTGGGAAGGGACCTTAAAGCCCATCCAGTTCCAACCCTCCTGCCATGGGCAGGGACACCTTCCACTAGGGCAGGTTGCTCAAAGTTACAGGAAGTTACAGGACTAAACAAACACCACCTTGTAAGAGTCAGTTACCAGCTTTGGGGCAGAAAATAACATGAAGCAGTGCCATAAAGCTCAGAAGACACAAGTTACCTTAGTGTGGACATGCCAGCTACACTGCTACAGCTACCCTGTCCATCCTTCCTGGGCGTGCAGCTGGCTGTCTGACGTTCGGCAAAGAGAACGGAGCTGTGGCACTTGGGAAGAGTTCAGTCTACAAAGCACGGGCACATACCTCCTGCCTCAGCCTGAATCTGTCCTTTGATGTAATTGGCAGAGAAAACAGGCTGCTCGATCGAGCACCCTTTCACCAAATAAAACGGCATCATGAAAGACAGCATAGGATCCTTGCCCTTCGTCACAAAGATCATCTGCAAGACAGGAGGGAACGTTCCAGCATTACTTGAATTAAAGGGTGGTCGTGGCGTTCTAGTTGTAGCAACATCCAAGAAAGAGGGTAACTTAACCCCGAGTATTACTATGCATTTTGTTATTTCACAGCCTCCGTACTGCAGGATCCCAAACAGACGTGATGTCATGGCATACTCACCTAAAACACACGTGTACTAAAAACACACGGACATTTACAGAGTTTTATGGTTCTGCTTTTGAAGGACAAGCTATGACAGTTTTCAAAGAAAGTAATATATCATATGAAATCTCTAGACAGTGACTTCTAGGACTGCATGTGCCTTTGTAGGGAACTGGGATCATGACACAGGTCCAAACTATCCTATTTCCACCCTCCCTTCTCCTGCCTAGCACTCTCAGTCATTCCTCCCATAGCAAAAATCACTTCTGTCACCAATTAGGTTTCTGGTCTAAAGCCCACGAGATCCCTTGAGAAAGGGGAAGCCCTCCTGGCATCAGACTTACCCTGTAAGGGGTGAGGTACAGCATGCCTTTCTTGGTGCCCTTGAAGACTTCAGGCTTGCCTGTCACATCACTGAAGGAGAGCTCCACATCTTTACACTGTTTGAGAACGCTACAGGAGGAAATCAGACAAATTGGAGAGACAAGCTCAGTGACAGCTCTGACACCTCCCCCTCCATCACACAGGCAGGGGGACAGCACACCAGAAACTCTGAATATTATCCCAAAAGCTTCAGTTCTGATGTGGGTGCCACCGTTTTTCCTTTGAAGAGAGAGGGATGATTTATGCACAGAATTCAACCGCTCACCAGCGACAACCCCTGTTTTCCTCCACAAAGGGAAACTGTACATGACAGGTTTCTCTTTCTGTCTCCAAAACCATCAGGCTGAGGAATTCCTCTCTCCACACGAGAAGAGCCTCAGCCCAAAGGTCAGGGCACGGAAAGGGGCGAGGTGTCTGAAACTGCCCCCCTTGAAGCCAAGGTAACCCCAGAGCAGGCCTCGCTCTCCAAGTCCACGCTCAAATCCAGGACTAGCCGCCACATGGGAAAACAGCTCTGCTGTAACACCGCACCCACAGTGCAAATCGAGCAAGCTGTTTCACCAATACCCTCTCTGCTGACCCACCTCCACGTGATTTAAGTAAATATTTGTAATAAACAGCACCATGCTAAGGAACAAAACGAGCAGCCAGTGATGTCAGCAATAAGGTTATTATTACTGGATATCTGTGGGAACATTAGCAAAGTCTGTCAATAACACCAAAGCCAGATGGGAACGGTGAACATTGCAGGGTCAGAGGCATGGAGCTGACCGAAAAATTAAACGTGTTTTCTGGAAAAAAGCTTTCTCCTCAGCTAATTAAAACCAACTCCTCGCCAGTCTGGATCTCACCAGAACACTTCTTCAACCACATCCTGCAGCAGCATTTCACTTCGGTTTGCCTCGCTGGGAAGAATTTCTACGTAGCCATGTTGATGTTTACTCCTTCCCAGCAAATTAACACACAGCCACCACCACCGGGTGTAATCAGGCTGCTGAACTGGTTTGCACCCGTGTGCCCATCCAGGGCTGTCACAAGGGCTGTGCACCCCACTGAGCACCCACCCGTGACTAAGCAGCAGCTCAAAGAATGGCTTGAGGTCAAGGACTGACAGGTCTCCTTTGAACCAGCAAAAGCTCTGCATGCCAAAGGACCTCCCTGACTGAAGGGCTAGCAGTCAGTCATGAACCCAACATTCCTTGGAACATACTTCTGAAGCGTGGTTTTCCTATTGCTTACCAGCCCCAAACCAACTCGATGATCCTTCGATGATCCTTTTCTAGGTGTCTGGCTTCTAGGACTTCTCCAGGCAAGGCCAGGATGCTGGGAGAACCCAAACAAAGCCAAGCCCAAGCTCGCCAAACTGGCCTGTCAATCCCCACTCGGGGTGAGGGTGGGCATCGAGCTGTGCTTTCACCGAGAGGCGCTCCTCCCATACGGGACCTGCTCTGCTCAGGCCTCACCTCTGTCGAAAAGTCTTCCTTACACAGAACTCAAGCGATTAAGACCCCTACCTTAAGCGGTCTATGCCTCCCTGACATCATTAACGACCCGCAGGACATAAAGACAAGCCAACGCCTTGACAGGGGACGGCAGCTCGCTCTTCACCCAGGACATGGCACTAAGGGCTGTCAAGCTTCAGCAACAGAGATGGGGCAGCTCCGCCGGCTC